CTTTGATCTTTCCCATCAAATTCCCTGCATGCAGATAACAAAATTATTTTTACCAGATAAGTGAGATTTGGCAATTGAGAGTTAACCTAACCTCATTAATATCAATGACACGAGGCCAGTTTAGAATATCTGTTGACTCAACACTTAATTTTGCAAGGTGAGACCCTTAATTCCTGATTTCAACTGGGATTTGAAAAGTCAAATAAAGGAAAACTATGTTCTTCAGTGGGGAGCATTGTAAACTTAAAGAATATTATAGGGCAGAAAGTAAAGAAGAGAGGAGCGGATGAGGTTAGATAAAAGTAAAAATTAATCAATATATAAAAATGCAAAATATTTTTAAACTATTTCTAGTCTGGGTAAATGATACCCTTGCTCCTAATAAATCTCCTTGACCTTGGTTCATAAATAGATATATGTTTCTGTAATTTTATATTTGAATATTCAATTTCTAATTCCCCTCTAAGAATAAACAACCTCCTTTAACAAAGTCACAGACCAAAAGCACTTCAAAACAATTTTCTTTCTCTCTTGCCATAGTTTATTTAATGTAATGTATATTTGCTTCATAACCAGTTGCACCATTGCATTGCAATGAATCCTCTGAGGTGCTGAGCATATGCTCCTCTCACTGAAGCAAATACCATTTACATATATTTAGTTCATGCTGGTAGACAACCTTTTTGTGATAACTACTTTTGTTGAATGGAGTTGGTTTTTAACCATGATGTTTGTTATTTGGATAAAACTTCAGACTTCTTCTGAATCTAGGGCTGCTTTATTTTTTTTAGTATTCCTGGCTGACTCTTATTAGCTAGTCAATTACAATAAAGCAGACCTATATATTCATTTCTTACCCTAGGATAAATACCCACTTGTTCAGTTTACTGTTACCCTGAAGCTGATGAGCTCACTTACCTGCTCTCCATTTAGGCTAAGAGCTTGCATTTTTAAAAATTCTTGTTTATGTCAGGACATTTTTTTTCTGCAGGATTATATTGAACAGAATCTAAAAAAAAATCCTTATCCAAGGCAGTCCCCTATCGTGTTAGGTTTGATTTAGAACTCTACAGATATAATCAGCTGTATTATCAGAAAATTTGCCCAAAGAGTCTTACACTTCTGAGCCAGATAGATATGCAGTGTCATATAGAGTAACAGCCATGTACCTTTGAACACAGTCCAAAAATATTGAATCAATAGCCAAAGCACACTCCAAACATATATTTTAGCTCTGTCCAATTTCCAATTATTTTCAGAGACCTATTTATCTTATCATAATGGCTCAGCTACCATTCTAAGAGAAGGAGTCCTACAACATTTTGAAGATACAAGACAGTTTAGTTAAGATTGTGACTTTATCTGGGAGTGAATTTAAGTGAGGACTTTGGGGGGAAAAGGAAGGTAAAAGGGCTGGAGCCACCCAATTAACTTTGGGTGGGACATTATGAAAATTCCTGTAACACCTGGACTGGAAATTTAGATACATAAAAATACTAACAGATATGGTATATACTGCAAAATAACTGTCTGTATGTTTATTCTTTCATCACTGATAAGACTAAGGTAACTGGAAATAGTAGGTCTTCATCAAAAAAGAATAAGCCTCATTATTTGTCACAGAATAACAGTGTACATCCAGCAGTTATTTCAGGTGAGCTGGCAACAGGTTCCCTATCAATTCTGCCTATGGATCTTACATCTAGAAAACCAAAATGTTTTAAAGATCCTACTTTTCTTTCACTTGAGATTGAATCACCCTAAACTACCTTGTAAAAGCAAGTTGGTATGTGTAAGTGTCAGGTCGATACCTCTAATTCTATAGACTCAAAGGAAAGTCAGATAACTTGAAGTTCACTTGCTATTAAAAGTGAGCAAGGCTGTCTTTCATTAAATTTGGATTAAGAGCCATCTGTGCATAAGTAGTTACTTATGAGCCACTGATGTGATATTTTATTTCCCTGCATCAGAAAGCCTTTCTGGGGTTTTTCCTTCCTTGTTTTTAAGTAGGCAATCGGAGAGAACCTTTGCATTTAAAATGCTTAAGAGCATGGAGAAAA